TTGTCGGATATTCGTCGGCATCAGAGAGTTCATCGACATCCGCGCTCTCTTCGGCAGGTAAAGTAATGGAGTCTCGTGCCCACGTTGTCTCGAAACACTCAACATCGTGCATAGGAGGTTCAATCAAGACTGTCTGAGCCACATCCGAAATGTGATCCAAGTCCTCATCTGTGGTGTGGGACCCTTCAAGTTCAGTAAGGGAAAAAGTGGCATTTTTAAGCTCCTGTGGGTCCAAGATTGCGCCTTTGCAACTCTTCACCAGTTTTGGTATCAACGAGAGGGGCTCAACCTCGGAGCTTATGAGAACCTGGGCTGGCATGGTGACAAAAACAAGCAGGATCTGAAAGCACTCGAGGACTGTTCATACAACAACCGCGAAGCAGCAGCAATGTGTCGACTACGTCCCGGGTTCCAAGGGATGAGCGTGTTCTGAAGCAACAGACCGTGATATATCAATCTGGAGGAAAAGAAGGTTGAGGATATGTGGATTGACAGAAAAAACGAGTGAATCGAGGCGACAACGAAGTTGATGTAGAATGGCCTGGTTTGTGGAGATTTCAAGTTCCTCGAGGAAGAAATGATATTGAGCAGATAGAGGTTCTCTGTGACAACAGAAATTGGGGTTGTGAGCGAGGTGCCATTCACTGACAGGTTGGGCTAGGCGAGTGTCTGGGGAGAGATGGGTCTTTGCCAGATCACCTCAAGATGGAAAAGGAACAAGACCCTACATACTGACGCGTTCTACAATTCGCATATACAAGTATGAATATAGCAACTGCATGAAGTGGAGACAGATGTGGGACGTGCGCGTCGAACAGAGGAAGAGTGCCATGCGTACGTGCGTGGGAAAGGTACTATGGTGTTTATTTATAGACAGACGAACTTGCTACTAGTGAGAAGGGGACAACCCCAGAGTATGTCCATTCTACTCGTTCATATGCAGTCTATGTGTGGCTCTACCCATCTTTCCATTTATGATCCGCCGGGAAGTACCATGTTAAAGGGGTACCTGTCATACATCCAACAACACCAGATAGTCCTTCAGCGCAACAGAGGATAAAAGGGGATCACCGGGATATACATTATTTGGATGATGCGTTGTCCATATAACCCCTGTCCTTGCATCGGACAGGGTACATCCAGAGGAAAACAGGAGCAAGAACCAGACAATAACCCGAGACTTTACACGGGATACCCAGATTTACGACATAGCTTATCTCCCTGAATAGAGAAAACGTTCATACAATCTAACATTCCAAAATGCGAAACTATAAATACACAGCTACCAGCAATCTAGCAGTAGCTAATAGCACAGCTTCAAAGAAAGAACCCAAGTGAAGTTAGGTTCTAATTCTTCGAAGACAGCCAGCGATACCACGTCCCACTACCATCAGGATGTTTCCGTTCCGTCTTTGGCCGACACAAAGCCCAGGAGATACCCGTCAAGTAACCACCCATATGGGCCCAGTGATCGAGTTTATGAGGACCACGTAGTCGTCGAACCAACGTGATCGCTTCGAGAGCAACCATGGTGGTGATGATGGACCATCCGGGGACGGAAAGCATCTTCTTCCATTCTTCTGGGAGGAAGAAGAATTGCAGGGTTTCGCTGTGGGGTGTTAGTTTTCTTGAATTCAGTTCAAAGAGGGGAGAAGATGGGAAGGGGTGCGTACTTGGCATTCAACGTGCAGTAAGCTGCTATGACTCCCGAGAGGGCACCACTGGCACCGAGCGCGCTGACAGTCCACTGAGCCATGAGACAGTGAGCTGTGAGGGTGACGAACGAGCCGACAACTCCAGAGGCGATGTAGAGCGATAGGAATTCTCCGCGGCCGATTTCATCGTGCACTGTGAGCAATTACACACATATGTCAGTTTTGGGGGTTGAGAACTCGAAGCAGAGAATAGGGGAGAACCACGCACACTTGGTTCCAATAAACCACAGAAACACCATATTCGAGATAAAATGTTTAGGGTACTGATGGCTGAAGATGTTGCCGAGGAGTCTCAGGGGAGGATTAGGGTTGGCGGGGATGCTGATCAAGTAACGGTTGAAGAGTCTCCAGCACGGAGGGAACCACCAGAGCGCGAAAATGGCCGTATTGATACCGATGATGGTGCCGACCGTTGCAGCTGAGCGAGGAATATTGGGCCATAGTCTGTCGGAGGTTGCGGGCGGTTCGTAGTACATAGTGTAGGCGTAGCAGAGACCCAGGGTTAGGAGCAAGAACGCAAACGAGGGGAGAAGCCGTTGACGCTGTTTATGGGATCAGAAAAGGCAATCATGCAAGATGATGGACTGAGAGATTTACCAGGGTGAGCTTGTTCAGGTCAAAGTCCAAGTCCTCCGCAGCCATGTAATTCTTCTGCACCCAAGCAAGAACAGGACGCTGCTTGGGGTCCGCAAGTTGTCGGTCTGCACCCACACATAGTGTCAGCCATCCAGCAATGAACCCAATGCTTATACCACTTTAACATACCCTTCGGCGCAATCTCCAATGCAGTCTTCTCATCCACATTCCTCAAAGCCAGACTATTCTTCTCGAATGAGCGCCTAACCCTCTCATCATGCTGCATGCCCCGGGACAACCACTCCTGTCGTTTCCTCTCCTGCTCAGCCAGCAAGTACGCCTCATTCTGCGTCCGGACTTCCTCCAACACACTCTTTCCCGACGGATTATGCGACGCACCAGCTCCCCCATTTACATCGGCTCCATACTCCCCACCTTGCGGCATATACCGTTGTACATTCCTTGCTTCCTCCTCGTCCATTTCGCGCTCAACGCGGGCCAGAATTGCAGCATCTTCATCGACCGGGTAGTTCGCACGGAGGTACTTGAGTGCTAGCTCCAGACTGCGCGGGTGCACGGAGCGGACGATATCAGCGGGGAGGTTTAGGTCCAAGGTGCCGAGGAGACGGCGGCCATGGAGGACGGCGAGGACACGGTTCGCAAGGGCTGGAGGAAGTTTGGTACGTGGACCGAAGATAGTTTTCAGTTCGGTGGTCGTGAAGGGCGTTGAGCGGGGATGAGTGCCTTGTTCTTGGGGTTGGTCTGGAGTTGTTGGGTGTTTGGCGCGGAGGGAGTGGGTGTTGTGGAGGGAGCGAATGAGGATGAGGGATGAGGAGGGAGCGGTTGTCTGTCTGGAGAGAACTGGAGATTGATTTGACCAGGAGCTTAAGAGGCGCCTGGCGATGTTATCGGGTTGCCATGGGAGGGTGTTTGTAGAGGCGGAGAGACGAAGAGGAGCGGAGGAGCGCAGCGGTGATGTTGATGTTGATGGGGCAAACCAGCTCGAGGCGCGGAGCCCCGGGCATGGTATGCGCCAGGCTACGCCCAACGCATTGCTCATCTCCTGCAATGAGGGGTCCGGGAACCCGTATCACAATGGACGATGCTGTTGATTGTTGGTGGTGGATTTGATGGAGTGCGGAGAGAGCCGGATTTTCTCCGTCTGCCGAGAGGAATGTTCCGTAGTGAGACTAAGTAGTATAGTTACTTGGTGGTTCGTAGAGCTAGTAGTCCACTGGGTTATGTCTGTATTGCCAACATGGCGCAATGCAGATGCCACCTACGATATCAGCTCAATTGAGGCAATTGAAAAGAAATTAATAGGGTTCTAGCATTGTATTTCTAGAAAAGAAACATCATCCCGAATAGCCTCATGCACGTGGACCATCACGTGGAGATAACGCGATCACATTCCTTGGTCCGATAAGCTTCAACTGAACTTCCCAGACGAAATGACTTCTGGATTGCTTCAGAAACATCTTCATTCATCTAGTTACTTGTCTCTATCTATCAAACCCTCCATCTCATCTTACATATACGCACCAAAACTCGACACAACTAAGCAACCATGTCCGCCGAATCCCTCCCTATCAGCCCCGCCGCCTTCGCCGAAGCCATCAAAGAGCTTCCCCTCCCTGTGCTCTACGCCAAAGTCTCCGAGATCCGCAACTCCATGGCGCACCTCCACCGCTCCAACCAGGAACTGAGGACATTCATTAATGAATCATGCGACACGGACTCCGAAAAGCAAGAACTAGAGGCATATATCAAGGAGAACGAGGACGTGGTAGTGTCTATGCTGGAGAGGATAGAGCTACTGAAGACTGAGGTGGAAAATCGGGGACAGAAATGGATTGAGCTGGAGGATCCGGAAAAGGAGAAGGAGAAGGAGAATGGTGAAGGGACTGCCAATGGAAATGAGAATGGAACGGTGGAAGGGACGGAGGAGGTGCGGAACCCCGCTGCGGGGAATGAGGACCGGAATCAAGATCACGACCAGGAACAGGACCAGGAGGGAGTTTATCTGTAGTCGTGAGTCTCCGTCTTGGTGAAGAATTCGAGACCAGGAAAGGTACAATGCGGCTTTTGAGGAATATCCATCTATCGCATACGAGAACTCCTACATGGGCAGCTACCGACTACCTCACCTACCGCCGAGAGTGTCGCAATGTCGCATTTGCAGGCCATTTGAACCACTGTCCGGTCAGCCTTCTCTACTGGGTACAGTTCAATTGGGTACAGTCGAAGCGTGAGAGACGTCGCGCCGCTGATTGTGTCCATGCTAGTCGAAATCTAGTCCTTCCGAAGGAAAGCCCTACTTTATCTTCATGCTGATTGTTCATAATCTCAATTTGGCTGATCAGTGTCATCTCCACGTCAGGCTAGTTTCAGGTAAATAATCTCAAAATGCTCTCGTCCAGCCAGGATGCGCAAGGTTAATCTAGGCTACAAGAATCGCGTAGTCAGTGGGGGTCCCACGACTGGATATGCAGAAAATCACAGGAAGAACATATTCACACCGCATGCTAAATGCTTAACGCCAACTCTGTGTCACGTAATCCACGCGGCGTCCTGAAGAAGTCAAGACACCATGAAACCGCGATCATAGGATCGAGTCGGTTCGTCTAATCCGATCAAAGGGTTCCAACGCCAGGTCGGACCGCTTTCTTACTTGGGGAAAGAAGAATGGGAGTTCTGCTGCGCCCTAGCTCAGCTAGAGGCTTGCTGGCCCCAGTGGCCACCTGCTAGCGCCTCCGGAGGGATGCGCTGCTGCTTGATGAACAGGTCGATCAGGGGTTGCATGGGCTCCATTTCCTTATCAGAGACGAGCTTGTAGTACTTGGCCACCGTGACGAAGTGGACAAAGCACATGTTAAGGATGTCATGCTTGTTAATGTGCCAGAAGGGGTTCAGCCAGTGCGCGTGGTACAAGTGGGCGTAGCATCGGAACATCTGCTTCATGATGCCCTGGCAGTCTTTATAGAACGTCTGAGGGAAGCCGCTGGACTTGCCAATCCACTCCTCTCCGGAAGTAGCGCTGGGGCCGCCTGCTTCATTGACCGCAAAAGTGTCTGGTACACCAGTAACCTTTTCCGTAGGGAACATGACCGGGTCGTGAATCTTGCTGACAATCCATTTCTCAACACGGTTGATGAACTTGGGGGCCGAGATCTTGGCGGCACGACCGTCGACCAGCCAGGTGTAGGTCAAGCTATCCGACGATGCCCATGTTAGACTGGTTTCCGAATCTTAAGCGCGGGGGAAAAAAGCAACTTACCGACCAGCCGACATGGTGGGGCAGGTGTTCTCGTTACAGATCGGCAGTCCTGTAAGGCTATTGACCTCCTGGATAACCTGGAGCATGCCATGGAGCAGGCGATATTGTTCAACGACTGTGTGGAGAAAACGATCAGCACGGGGGACTCTCCGAGCGGAAGAGGCAGCAAGTCCGCTTACTTTGATGGGCCAGCCATTCACCCAGCTCCACGTTCTTGGGACAGGCACACAACGTCAAGAAGTTACCCTTCACATTGAGGGGGGCATATTTCTCCTGAAAGAAGTACTTGGGAGCATCGGGGTCGTAGGTGGAGGAGGTGTCCACGGAGAGACTCGAGGTGAGGGACGGCGAGTTGGGCACATGGCCGGCGGGAGGCATCTGGGACGACGGCGACGGAGCCGGACTTCCATTGTTCATCTTTGCGGGATTGTTATTGTTGTTGTTGTTCTTGTTGTTATTGCCTCTGCCAAACCCTTGGCGGCTGGGAAGGGGGAAACAAGTCGCAAGTCAGTCCTGGCTGGTGTCCAGACGGAGATGTGGGGGGAAGAGGGAAAAGGAGAGGGCGTCAGGAGATGAAGCCGCAGCGCTGAAACAAAGGACACAGACTGGTGGACGTGGCCACTGATTTCAGGGGGCATCATTCTTTTGGTGCGCCCAGGCATGTTGCAGCACTGTCCACCCAGAGAGAGCGCATGCGAGTGAAGGGTCCAACAGGGACGGGATGCATGATTAGGGGAAGAGGAGGGGAAGGCACATACACACTCTGGAAGAAGGTCGCCATGATGAACGGGAATACACGTGTGCGGGAACACTGACTAATCTGGCGATCAGGCAATCCGAGATAGTTCAGTGAGAGATCCGAGGGGATTGAAGAGGGGGGAGGGAACAATCCACGACGGAGTTAACAGGAAAAGAGTTGGGGAGGAAGTGAGGAGGAATGAATGAATGAATGAATGAGTTTGGGGATGTCCCGATCTGGAATTCGACTGATTCGGTCTGGCCCGTCCACCTGCCCGCTGCGCTAGTCCCTCTTGGGCCCGGAAGGGATCATTCTATCCACCGAGGGGGTCTGTTACTTTCACTAACTCAACTCATAGTTTATTGAGTCTGAACTAGTAATAATTAACAGCTACCGCGCAGCTCATCCCAGAGTCGCCCAGCCCCATTGATCGCACTCTGGCCCTGGTGTTATTCCTATTCTACCCTCTTCTCAGTCTCTCTTTTTTATACAGGGCCTTTACAAGAACAACTTTTCTTCCGAACACTTTAGCTGTTCCTAGCACCAAACACAACTTCATCTTCGGCATTGACCGCGCACCCACCGGAGCTCTCTCTTTCCCACCCATAATGTCTTCTTCAGATGAGGATGTCATACGCCGTCCGGGGCGCAGTACAGGTGCCGGTCAACCAGGCAGTCCGTCTGCAAGTGAACACAGCGAGGCTCCGGCGCGAAGTCAGAGTCCCGCGGGCTCGGATGCGGGCAACGCGAACGGCTACGATGATGCGGATCTGTTTGGTTCGGATGCTTCCGACGGAGGATTTGGCGATGATAATGAGTACGGTCAATTGCCTCTGTTGCTCGAGAGACATTCATTGACTAGTGAACAGACGACCCCAGCGGACGCTCGACGACGAAGAACTCGATTCCGGAGATGACGTGGATCGCAATGATCGGGTTGGAGAGCCCATGGACTACGAAGGAGGCGCAGACTATGAGGAGACTGTAAATATCATGGACATGAGCTTGAGCCGGGCGCCAGAGCCTGTGACTTCGAACGGCGAGGTATGTTCCACAAGCATCCACCTGTTGCATGATCCCGGACTCACCATTGCCCATTCTAGGTCTACACAATGCCAGTACCCCCTTTCCTATCCGTTGAAACGGAAGAGTTCAACCCAGAGACCTATGTTCCACCTCCGTTCACGACAGCGGCCACGTCGCTCTGCTGGCGCCATGATCCCCAGAACGAGTCGCTGCTGCAATCGAATGCACGAATCATCCGCTGGGAGGATGGTTCCATGACATTGCAGCTGGCGTCCGCGCCAAAGGAGCAATACCGTATCTCGACCAAGCCACTGGCGCCTCTCAGCAAGTCTGGCGAATACGACACCAAGTTAGACTCGCACGTTTATCTGGGAGCAGCCGCAGAAGCTTCCTCGGTCTTCCGGTTGACCTCCCATCTCACCCATGGACTTACGGTCTACCCCACGACCGTGGAGACTGACGACGCCGTGCAGCGTCTGCAGGAGTCGCTAGCAGCAGCAGCTCGTGGTGGCAAGAAGACGCTGGACGGATCGGCACCGGTTATCGAGGTCAAGGAGGACCCCGAACTCGCCAAGCGGCAGGCAGAAATGGCCGAGCGTGAGAAGCTGAAGGCTGCTCGTCGCCGCCAGCAGCTTCAGGACCGCGAGATGGACCGTGGCCGCCGTCATGGATTCACCCAGCGCACCGGAGGTGCTGGTCTCACAGTGGGTGGCCTGGAAGATGACGACGGTCTCCTGACTACCCGGCCTCGCGCGAAGAAGCCTCGCAGGCCAAACCGTCGGGGCGAGATCTACACCGATGACGAAGAAGAGTATGACCGTCGCGGACGCACTCGCGAAGACGAATACGACGAAGACGATGGTTTCCTGGTGGGCAGTGACGAAGAACCAGAAATCGTCGATGATGACGACGAAGAAGATGTCTTGGAGGATGAAGACGAGGACGCTGAGGGCGAAGAGGAAGACCTTCCACCTGCCAGACCGCGACAGAAACGAGCCTCCCCCGAGGCTCCTGAGAGAGGCACCCCTCCAACCCGGAAGAAGAACCGCTACATTGTGGACGACGATGATGAAGAGTAACGGCTCTTCAATTCTAAGCCATATTGACATTCTTACTTGCTTCTTCTAATGACATTGTAACTGTATCATCCATTCTGGGAGTCATTCTTCGGGCGCATGCATGGTCGTCACCACCCATTCAATGTTATGTTTTTGATATCATACCAGAATTTTACAAAATTAAGAAACAACTAACGGACTCGGCGATATGCAAATTTGTACATACCGTACCGCTAGATCTATCTACATTGCTAGTAATATCATAAATTCACAAGACTAGTCCTTCCCGAAATAGAGATCGGAGTATACTGTATGATTGTCATAAAATCGTAAGATTAGGCACCGTTAAATCGAACCCCGGTCTCAATATAAATGTGGCTCCCTCCACCCATACAGCCACCTTATATCGATGGAATTCTTTATCAAAGATGCCGGGCCTACTTGGCACCCGCACCAACCGGATAATCACTTGGCTCAAAACCAAACTTCGGAATGACATTGCGCGCGCTCTGAATGATGCGCATACACAGCGCATCCCGCTCAAGGCACGATTCATCCTCCTTGGACCCGTCCGTCTTTGGTATAGGAAGGTGACGTTCCTCGACAGGCAGCGGGTGCGAGCGATGCCAACGCCGTTGCCGCTCCTCCATTTCCTCTATAAGACTAAGCAGGCTAGGCCCATCATCTGCACCCGGGGGCATACCGGCCGGATCACACGGCCCTCCTAGCACACGGTATCGCACGGTTTGCCGTAGCCAATCTTTCCAGCCTTCCGTAGGGTTAGGGGAGGCATCAATTGCTGCGGCGTAAGCCGGTGGTGCCGATTGTCGGCCGAAGTCGACGGCGTTGACTTTGGATATACGTAGCCAAGTATCGGCGATGACGGTTAATAAGGTGCCAGTGAAGGTGACATTTTGCATGCCCGTAGTGAAGCGGAGGGGACAAATTTGGCAGCGGATGACGGCTTGGGCGGTTCTGGATGCGATGTAGAGGGAGCATAGGTTGTGATGAGAGAGCGGGAATGGGGCGAGAGAAGACAGATGGCTGAGACAGAGGTAGAGGCATGATAGGCAAGGGCATTGGCGGTCGGATTCCTCTGAGTCCGGGGACGAGGCGGCAGAGGACTGCTGCAGTAAGGATAGGTCTGGTGGGAGGGTGTAGAGATTGGCTGCTGATGAAGAGACATTGGAGAAATCAGGCCATGGACTGACTGTCGTTGGAGCTGCATCTATTGGTTTGTTGAGGAGGAATTGCCCGGCGTCAACGTTGCTATTTGCGTCCGCAAAGAAGTTGGTGTACCCCGTATAGTCTGATGGGGCGGTCTCGGCTGACTCAATGGTTGATGGTACAAGGGAAGCAAATTCCGAGTTCTTGGCCCATGGCTCATTCCCTGAGAGTCCAAAAGGTGGTGATAGATCCTCATCATCTCGCATACGCTTCTTCGGAGGCCGTCCCATCTGTTTCTGTAGGGAGTAGTGGCAAGTGAGACTTTGTTTGACGCAGCGAGTGCAGCCAGTGGGCTCTCCGGAGCACTTTAGCTTGCGACTTCCTAGCATGAGGGAAATTGATTAGCGCCATACAGTTTCTACTTCGACTTGACAAGAAGTCAGACATACTGCACTCATCACAGGCCGCATGTCTTTTCCCCCGCGCCACGCCTGTTGCGGCGTCACTCATGGAAGCATTGCTTGGGTATACAGAATGTGGTTGGCTGCATTCGAGAGAGAATTGCTGGTGCATCATTCTGCAGAGCCAGCGCAAAGTTGTACCGGCTTTCAACTAAGCCACAAAGGTAATATGATTATTAGGTAGGTAGTTGATCTTAAACTTCATAATAATGATTGCTTGTTATCGATAAAGTTGTGTGCCTGAGGCCATGAAGGGGATCGATAAGAGAGGCGGTGTGTCACGTGGGCGGTATGTCTTTCCGCAAATCGAGGGCAGCAAAAAAAAAGTCGAAAAAGTCGAGCTTCGAATTCCTTCCAGCAGTGCTTCGATCCTGCACAAGATTCTGCCCACTCGGAGTGTTCCTTCGTCGCCATGAGTGCTGCAAAGGTTTCCAAGAAGCGCAAGGCTGTCACCAAAGATGTCGAGGAGGAGGCCGGTGTGTTCTCTGGCGACGAATTGAACGTCGGCGACATTGATGGTGCGCTTTCGGACGATGCCAACGACCTATCGAGCGACGAAGAGGATTCCGAAGTTGAATTGGTTGACGACTTCAGCTCCGATGAGGATGATGATGAAGAGGAGTTGGACAGTGATGAGATCCCCTCCGATGGAGAGGCGACTCTCAAGAAAAAGTCCGGCACATCAACTGCGGACCTGGAAGTACCTACGAACGACGACGAGAGCTCCAGCGAGGAAGAGCAACCTAACTTCCGCATTGAAAAGGATGCCAATGGAAACGACCGTTACGTCTACGACGAGATCAACCCAGACGACAACTCCGATTACTCTGACGTCGAAGAGAATGCGAACACGATCGGTAACATCCCGTTGTCTTTCTACGACCAATACCCCCACATTGGCTACGATATCAATGGAAAGAAGATCATGCGTCCTGCCACCGGGGAGGCTCTGGATGCTTTGCTTGACAGCATTGAGATCCCCAAGGGCTTCACCGGTCTGACTGATCCCTCGACCGGTAAGCCTCTGGAGCTGAGCCAGGATGAGCTGGAGTTGCTGCGCAAGGTGCAGATGAACGAAATCCCCGAGGAGGGCTACAACCCATACGAGCCTTTGATGGAATGGTTCAGTAACAAGCAGGAAATCATGCCCCTCAGTGCTGCTCCGGAACCCAAGCGTCGATTCGTTCCGTCGAAGCACGAAGCCAAGCGGGTCATGAAGATTGTGAAGGCCATCCGCGAAGGTCGCATTTTGCCCTACAAGCCTCCGTCCGAAGAGAAGGAGGAGGACCTCGAGCTCATCAATTATGATTTGTGGGCAGACGAGGCCGAG